GGCAAACTACTAGCACACTGCCCTAGACACTCTGGTGCATCTAGGGCGCGCCACTCCACCCCTCCCCCAGACAATCCTGACGAATTTTTCTTCTCGTTTTCTGATCCTTAAACACTTCTAATCGGTTGATTTCCTAAAATTTTGCATAGATTCAATTACCCAATACAAGAATATAATCAAATACAACTCTTAAACTCAATACGACTATATCAAGAACTCATCAAACCCATCCTAATTCAATAATGGAAACAATACTTAAAGAAAACTTATTAAGAGCTCAAATCCTTCAACTTTTGAGAATGAAATTGTGCTGAAAATATCATGATTGGCGTGTGGGTGAATGAACCCAACACTGTGAGAACTCACATACTTCTTAGGATCGAATCCTTCACGAAAACAACCTTCGATTCAAAAGAAAACGTGAAGAACGCCTTGACTTTTCTCCTTTACTCCTCTTCTTGCTCATCTCTCAAAACCCTAAGCGTATATGAGATTGTAAAACTGAACCAAATCAGATTTGACCCCAAAATAATACCAAAAATCATTTTAAGCTGAAGGGGTAAGGAAAAGACCAAAATACCCCCTATTAATTTGGGTAACATTCCTTAACTGGACAGGCATATTTCAAATGGTCATATCTCCCTCATCCAAACTTGAAACGTAGCAAACTCGGTGACGTTAGAAAGAGGATTACAAGACCTTCCATTTGATATCTTATGGGCCACCTAACTCATCCTGCAGTGAAAGTTATGGTCGTTTGAAGTTGATTCAAAATTCATAACTTAGCATAACTTTGCAAAATTTTCAATTTAGCTATTTCCAAATTAGCACTTTCTAAATTTAGCTTTTTTCTAAGGCGGGATGTTACAAAATCACTCAAGATGTCACTCCCCGAGCCTACACCTTGGATGCGACTGACACTTGAGAACCATTGCTGGCCCCAAACGAACCCTTGGCTTGGCTCAACTCTCAGCGGAAGAATTACTCATCAATAAATGAACTCAAAAGTAAAGTTTTAATTCAAATGTCTCAAATACTTAAATCAGAATATTTAGAAATAAACATTCACTTGGAAAAAGAGGCAACTCAAGTCTTAAACACGAACAATAGAAATGAAAAGACTCCTCGACTACTACTATCTATCAAGCCTTTACTAACTGAGATGAATGTCGGTACAAGACCCACGACATTTTAATAAACAAAGATGAAATGTAAACTCAACGTGAAACCCTCTGGAAAGCAAGGAGGCTCACCAACTCTAGCTGGAACACGATTGGATCAATGAAGTGCCGGTTGATGATCCTGATTACCTGTATCTGCATTATTAAAGATACATGCCAAATGGCGTCAGTACAAGAGTCATCTAAAAAGTACGATCTTTTACCCATGTTGGATACATGGTTTATGAGGAGTGTGAGTTGGTTTAACTCATCCCCATATCGGTGCTCAATACTACTCCCAATAATATGTATACTCATGCTCAATTGTGTAAAAGATACTCTTTCCTAGGTTTGAGATAATTTTTTAGACTATCCTATTAAAAGAGGTAAATATCTTTGAACTCATAAACTCTTTATAGAAATCAAAGTTTTTCTTTTTTCAATGTAAAATTGATATATTTGGGAATACTTGGTTCCCTTAAACTTTACTCAAAATGTCTCTTTAAACCTTCCTCAAAAACTCAGTTTAAAACAAAAATAGTCTTTAAAAGATTCTCAAGATTTATAACTCAAAAAGGGTTCATGCTAAAATATAGACATGAACGAATCACTCAAGGATCTCAATTACAATATAGAAACTCAATACTCAGAACTCAAGAACTCAGAATTCAACAATACTACTCATCTTAAGAATACTCAATTAATAGGGTCCATGCTTAAATATAGACATGAATGAATCAACTCAAGAATCTCAATATATAACATGTAGCAATTCAATATATAGGAATAGAGTTTAAAAAAGGATTAGGAACTCAAGAACTCAAAATCAACTCAACAAAATCTCTTGATCTTTTCTCTTAAACTCACTTTAGTTTTGAGTGTCCATTAAGACATTTGATTAGAACATGTAGGAATTCTCAAAAGTAAATGGAGCCTTTAAGAGCTAATACAAAGAAGGGAAACATAGCCACAACTTAAAGGAAAATGCGCCAGATGAAACAGAGAAAATAATAGGTCAGTGCTCTTTGGCGTACTGCTGGCGCGTCGTACCAGGACCTGAACTTTAGAAGTTAGGCCTTGGAGTACTGCTGACTCATCGCACCAGGGCCTGAACTACTGAAATTCAACCTTGGCGTTATCATGGCATGCCACCCCAGGCCCCTCCCCAGCAACCCAGTGAATTTTAGAGCTTAAATTAGGGTCCTAACTCATTTAGAATGGGGAAAATTCTCCTAAACTTTTCTTAATTGTCAAACCCAACACGAATACATGAAGAATTCTACTCAATTTCCTTTAGGAACACAACTTTTACCAAAGATCCACAACACAAAAGAATTCACACCCTGTTAAAGAATTGAACAACAATCTAGAACTAGTCAAGAATCCCTTAGATAAAATGATTTCATGGATAAATTAGATGAAAGACATGAGGATGAACAAGTCCAACACCTTCAGAAGCCTTACATACCTGGAAAGAACAATGTTCTTGTCGAAAATCGACAAATCTTGAAGAACGCTTGAAATCCTAGTGTTTCTCCTCTTGGAACCTCGCTCTAATTTCTCTAATTGTTTAGGAACGTGAAAATGTGGTTTAGCATCTGATTAGACCCTTATTTGGTTGAAGACAAACGTGGCTAGGCTTACAAGGAAAAACAGGGAAAAACCAAACTATCCTTCTAAAAATGATTGAGGTGCATTTAAAAAAGAGGCACCTTCACTCGAACATGCATAACTTTTTACCCCGAACTCGGAAATAAGGAAACTTGGCGGCGTTGGAAAGATGACTCAAAGACTTTTAATTCGATAGGTCATGTGCCACTTAACTCTTTATGTGGTAAAATGTATGGTCATTTGAAGTTGACCCAAACTTAAAACTAATGGTGACTTGTACCAACCTCTCTTTAGCTCTTTCGAAATTCGAGGTGTTACACAAGGTAACCTCACCCCCTTGAGAATTGTTCTTGCAAAACCCCCATCACCATAGGAGGTAAAAGTCTGTCATGCATGTTGACAAGTCAGATTGGATATTCATAAGACACAATCATGTCAATAAAATGTGTATATGTGGTCACTAGAATTGTTAATATGTCTATAAGACAGTTCATCTACAATTTTCTTTTTGGGGGGCATCTACGGCCTACGGGTTAGCAAATGGAAAATGTGATTATATTTCAAAATGATATTTAAATATGACAAAGTTATCTTGCCATTCATCTGCAATGTGTTTTTTCACGAATATCTTTCTTAGGCAGAGGAAACATGTTCCCTACATAGGCAGTGTCACTGGTTATGTTCTCAAAATACCATCTTCTTCTTCTCCATTTGCACTGCCAACAAGACAGTAGACTGTAAGATTGAAAAAATATTCATGTATTCATAATCCAAAGCTTCTGTCATTTACTTTTAAAAATTTCCCCTATAGTCTAAGTTATTACCTCTAGTACCTTGGTCAACAGATAACTCTAAATGTTCTGGCGAAAACTCTCTAATAATCCTAGGCTTGGTTATGGTGTGCGCAATGAGGATTGTAACAAGAAGAGAGTTTATCTTTTTGGAGAGTCAAATGCTGAAATAAGGTGCTAGAGTCAGTCCTTTAGATTTTTTTTTACTCATTTTTGAGGTAGAGATTCTTTGTTTGATAGAGTAGAATATAATTATGTTTAGATAGTCTTAAAAATTACTCCTTTCGTCTAACTCACCCGTTAGGGTATACATGATAGTCTTAAAAATTATTCCATGTGTTCACTAGTTCATACAAGCATCAACTCGATGTAGCATAATTGTTTTGAGAAAGTGACAAGGGCAACTTGAGAGTCTTCGATAGGTTTCAAGAGTTTTTGTGGGATTCAATCATCATGCTTCAGCCTTTTATCATCTTGAAAGGTTGATTATTCCCCTCTTTGTAAAACGTTCATACAAGTAACCCGTAATTGTCTTACGAGTATCTAATTCATCTCTAAACCTTAAGAAGACATCGTACTTCCATCGAGGACAGTATTGTGAATTACTCACAAAAGTTGATGCCATGAATTAAGTTAATTCCTTGAAATTTGGGACAAAATTCAACGAAGAAGGGGTTTACTCTAATTGACTATTATTCATTCACAAATAGGAAATTTTTGTGAAGTTTCTTAATTCTCTTTGAACTAAGAAGGAAATTTTTGTTTGAACTCTATTAAAAAGTACAAACAGACAGAAGCTACAGAGAAAACGAAGGTCAAAATCACACTAATTTCTTTATCATCAATAGCACGATCATAAAAAGGAATTGAAGATAGTGCTATGGTCCATAACAATAAAAGATGAGATATTCTGAAACAACAAATTACAGATCAAATCACTGCTCCAATCTGCAAATGTTGTATTTAATTGCTCTGGAAATTCTGACAGCTGTGTAATCCTCTCGCAATATGTTAAGTACGAGGTTTGAAGAGTACCAAGTTGGGCTATGCTTGCAGGAAAATGTTTAAAATCATTTCCACTGAGATGCAACTCTTTCAGATATGATAAGCATCCAATGTATTTCGAAAGTCTATTATATTGCAAAAATTGAGATTCAGAATTTTCAATGAGCGGAACCCTTTATTCACCCAAGGGAACAGAAAGTACCCTCCATCTTCTAAACATAGTCCTTCAAAACTCAAGAATACAAGATTGTTCAAGCGGATGATGGAAGACGGTGGTTGTGAAATTTGAGTATAGCTGGCATCTAGTTTTACCAAGTTCTCTAAATCACCTATCTTTTCTGACAAGCTTCCAAGTTTGGAGCAGAACGAGACATCTAGCTTCACCAAACCTTTCAACATGCTAATACTGCTTGGAAGAGCTACAACGTTTTCCATGTCTGACAAATCTAGCTCTGTAAGATGAGCTTGGTGCTGAATAAGATGAGCTTGTAAGTTTCCGCTGCCAAACACAATGATGCGCGGCACCGCGAGTTGCAATAATCGTTATTGTGAAGAATGCATACAAAATTATATAGGCAAAAAAATTAATAGGGATATCTATGAGATGATTTCCATAAAGTGCCCTGCTTCTGATTGCAATGGAATTTTAGATATCGATTCAATAATGCTGATTGATTTCCTTATGCGAGTAAGAGATGCCATTCCACTAACGGAAGTTCTGACTTCGCCAATAGTTATTGATTTCCCTTTTATGGATTTTATGGGTACACTGGTTGATGATCTAAGGGAATATCTGATTAGGGAATGTCTTGAGTGTTGGAGACTTTTCCGTGTCAATTGTAAATGCTTGCGTTTGGGAATGACGTGTGAGAATTATCAGTTTAGTAGGCAATTAAATTTGCTCTACTGGCAGCATCATTATGGAGGATATCATGATGAGCTAGAGGAGGATGAGGAGGAAGAAGAAGAAGATGTAGATGACGATGATGATGAAGAAGGAGAAGAAGAAGAAAGAGGAGGATAAGGGGAGGAAACTCCATGATCAGAAACTTCAATGAATCTGAAAAAGTTCAAATTTTGTTTCCTTGGAAACAAAATAGCAATTTGAATTCTTATTTACTTTATATGCAGTCTATTGTTGGTCTTTTATTTGATTTCAATTGTAGTTTTTAAGTTGGTGAAAACACAATATGCAGGGTAATTAGTTATTGAGTCTTATTTGGATGGGCTCTAGCAGTGGAGACCTATTGTCCAAAGTAAGTCTAGACCAAAATGCGCAAATCTTCTATTTTGTAGACAAGTTGTTCTATTTTATATAGAGTCCAGGTTCATATGACCAACTATCAGGCCCATATTTCTTTTATTTTGAATCACTTGTTCAAATTATTTTTTACTACATCACTTATTAGATCAAAGTATTAAAGAATTCATCTCACACTTGGTTTTTGAAGTAAAAAATGATTTAGTTTGCTTTGGAAAATTAGGAGAGAGGTTGTATGTGTTACACTCTAACTTAGGATAAGAAGTAACATATAAGCAAAACACATGAGAGATGTTAAGTCTATATAAGTAAGTAGACCTTGTACTTTAATGATGCCTTTAAAAGTTGTGCAGGTCTATGCCTAGATAGAACAATATCACTAGTGGGTTAGGCAATTACAGAAGGTATTAGAGCAACTTTTGTGTTGACTGCGTCAATGCAAGCTAAAGTTAACACTGATTTTAGCCAAATTCCGATAAGGTGATGAGGCAAACATCTTTGCTAGGTCTAGACAAATCTCAAGTGGTGGGGAAAATCACAATGGTAGGGTAAACCTGAGCGAGGACGTTGAGTCCATAAGAGAGGGTGTTTGTGACACATGTTCTTAGGATAAGAAGTCCACATCGACAAAAACACATGATAAGTAAGCAGATCTTACACTTTAGTGGTGCATTTTAAAGTTGGGTGGGCTAGGGAGAAACAACAAATATCACTTGCAGGATGAACCATTGTTTGGTTGGAAAAGGCAATGTAGAATTATATATATATATATATATATATATATATAGACACCGTTAGTCCTAATAACTCTCATGTGTTTTGACATAATATATATTATGTCACTTCCCAGCTTAGTATAAGAACTCCACATCGACAAAACAAATTAGAGTTATTAGGACTAACGGTGAACCAATATTGGTTTTCAAACAGACCGTGCCAACACCAAACACCTTAACTTCACCAGCATTACCCATTTTAAAAGCTATATACATTCATTTAAGCCAAATAACATAGAGTATGTGTCATGACCCAAATTAGGTTCGTGACCGGCGCTAAGGGGAAGAATCCCAAAGCAAGCCTTACCAGAATTCTACAGAAAATCGGGCAGAGATTCCTTTATTTTTGGGCCTATCCTGAATTTTTCCTATCTCAAAATTCCACAACACAACTAATAACAACTATAAATTAAAACATAATATCCATCGATGATCTAATTGTCACGCAATAATACCAATTTATCTCCAAATGCGAAAAAGAGGTTCAAATCTAGTGACTTGACTACAATACAAAGGAATAATCATGACTCGAATGAAAGGTACGACAAATGGAGTGACTCTAAGAGTTTTTAAAAGAAACTAAATAAACCATAGTAAATCAATAGTTATCTTGCCACGCGAATCAACGTGGGGCTCACCAGATGCTACCAATCACACTCTCTAGTTAATGAAATCATCACCAATACCACCTGAGTTCTCTGTAAAAACAATTATCAAGGAGTGAGTCACTAGCTTAGTGAGTAATAATACTAAACCACAACCATTTTAATGTAGGACAAGTCAGAAAACATGCTAGTATAATAATCAAAATAATGAAATAATGCCCTTTCAGAAACGGTTCAATATTCAATCTTATGTGCCTCATATAAGCAAAATCAATGTAAATACTTAATAGTAAACTCAGAAAAACATTTCCACATCAACTCTTATAGTTGGGAGATTTCCAAGGATGAATCATGTAATTAGTGTGGCCATCTCTTTAAGAAGTAACCAATAACAGTGAGCTCCTCATAAAGGAGTTAAATATTCATATCAGTAGATCCATACTCGAGGGATATTAGTAATAATATACTAGTTCTACATTCCCACTAGCAAGGGCTTTATCGGTAATCTGTAACTACAAGGTGGCACTAGGTGTAACGAACCCGCCGTTATCTAGGGGATTCATTAAGGTCTACTCCCATTTATATTTTCTTGTAATCAGTAGAAGCATTTCAAAATTGAACGGAGCATTTAAATCTTATCAAATCATATCATTTCAAAGTTAACAATCACCTGTCAAAATACTATTTCTCAAGTAAGTGTAAAACCTTTTCAATAACAGTAATCATCTCTTGTAAGAATGAGATCATCTCAAATAATCTTTTCATTATCATATCCAGTAAAAGACTTGTCCCACATGCAAGTTCAAAACATTCAATAACACATTTACTTTATAAACCATGTGAAAATCATGCAAGTTATAAAACATCAATTGTGGTAAGATTACTACTCACAATACTCGTGTTGAAGTACCAAATTTGTCACTTGGGCAATCTGTATGACTTACTTCAATCAATCTATAATCACATCATAGCGGTCTCGTAATACTTTCTTCGTTTAGGCTAATTCATACTAAATTCAGAATACCCAATCTTCAAGGTTTTATGATATACTCTCAATCTGTCAATTTATTTCAAATTGGTGCTTCAGATTCCACAAAAAGTCTGATTGTTGATTACTTCACCCTATAATAAATAGAACTAATGTCACTGTCCAACAATTCTTCTTCAATTTATGCCAAACTACAAAAGTTTGGTCCAAACATTTAACATACTCACTCAAACCGTAAGATAATAAGAGTTTAACAGATTCCTTTATTCCTTCTAAACCCATGTTTTTCAAACTCTCAGTTCTCAAATTTATAGTAAGGGAATATACAAAATCAATCTTTAAAACTATGTTAAGAAACTTACCTTGAAATCCATACTTGCAATAGCAAGAGTTCCACTTCTTCTCCATTTATTTATATTTCTCTGTTTTAATCATCTTCATGCTCCTTCATAGGAAGAGACACAAAGAACGTGCTCTTTCTTCCGTTTTTTTCCAAGAGTTGCTAACAAAACTTTTAACTCCAATAATCTCTTAGCTTAAATTAATTTTTCCCTTATTAGGCTTCTGATGGGCTAAGGCCCATTTGATTATTTTTTTGGCTAATGACTAATATGCCCTTGTTTAAAATATGGGATATTACACTATGAAACACTTATAATACTTAACTTTATTATGCTTATCCACAATATGTGATGACGCTTATTTAATTAATCTTCTTATTTATGTAGGGTTGAATCAGAAAATATTCAATAAATTGTTAATCAAACGTCGCTCAAATTATGCAAGACTTCAGTATCTTATTTGCAAGATGTTGTGGGAATAGATACTCATTTAGAGAAAGTAAAATCCCAACTAAAGCTTGAAATCAATGAAGTTCGGAGTGTGGGGATTTGGGGCATGGGGGGGGGGGGGGGGTGGATTGGTAAAACGACAATAGCAAGGACAATTTTTGATACACTTTCGTATCAATTTGAAACTACAAGTTTCATTGCGCATATTAAAGAAAACAAATGTGGAATGCATTCTGTGCAAAATATCCTTCTCTTGGAATTGTTAAGGAAATAAGATAATTATGTAAATAATAAGGAGGACGGAAAGCATATGATAGCTCATAGACTTCATTTTAAGAAGGTTTTAGTTGTGCTTGATGACATAGATCAAAGAGACCATTTGGATTACCTAGCAGAAAATTCTAATTGGTATGGTAATAGGAGTAGAATTCTTGCAACAACTAGAGATCATCATTTGATTGAGACGAGTGATGATATATGAACTGACTACACCAATTGACCATTTAGCTATTAAATTGTTCAATCAATATGCTTTCATCAAAAATGAAGTTCCCGATGAATATTTTGAGAAGCTCTCAATAGAGGTTTTACATCATGCTAAAGGCCTTCCTTTAGCCCTAAAAGTGTGGGGTTCTTTATTACATAAGACGGACATAATAGAGTGGAGAAGTGCTATGGAGGAAATGAAGAATAACTCTAATTTAGAAATTGTTGAAGAGCTCAGAATTAGCTATGATCGATTGGAGACCGTACAATGAGATATATTTCTAGATATAGCATGTTTCTTTCGAGGGAAAGATAAAGATTACATCATGAAAATTCTTCAGAGCTGTTATTCTGGAGCAAATATTGGATTGCGTGTCCTAATTGACAAATCTCTTGTATTCATCTCTATAAACAATACAATTGAAATGCAAGACTTAATACAAAAGATGGGTAAATACGTGGTGAAAATGCATAAAGATTCAGGAGAACCTAGCAGAATATGGAACATTGAATATTTCAGAGAAGTGATTGACAACAACACAATAAGTAGGTTAAACAATGCAGTATTATTAAATTTCCTGTTTTCATATATTGATATTTATTTATCTTATCTTATTAAGCCATTAATTGGTCTACTAGCCTTTTATTTATCTTTTTACCAGGGGACCATGCCAGTGGAAGCAATTTGGTGTACTTATTTTGGACAAATATGCTTTAATAAAGAGGCGATGAAAAATATGAAAAAGCTTAGGATATTATACATAAATGATGGTAGCTTAAACAATATCTTTTTACCCTACTCTTCGATTGATTCGAAATACATTCCTAACGGCTCCATTGAGTGTCTGTCCAACAACCTGCGGTGGATTTTCTGGAAGCAATTTCTCTGTTTGTTGTGAATAGGAGCTTTTGCCGTGTCTACGATGGTTAGATCTGGGCTTCTCTAGAAGACTGATGCAAACACCAAATTTCACGGGGATGCCAAATTTGGAGTTTTTGAATCTGGAGAAATGTAGTAGTCTTAAAGTGGTTCACTCTTCCCTGGGTGATTGCAAAAAACTATTTAAGTTAAATTTGTATTGTTGTGAAAGCCTACATAATTTTCCATGTGTTAATG